AAGGCTTCTCCGAATCCAGGGAGGAAAGGCTTCTTCGAACCCAGGGGGGGAAGGGGGGAAGGCTTCTTCGAAGTCCAGGGAGGAGAGGCTCCTTCGAACCCAGGAAGGGCTTCTCCGAATCCAGGGAGGAGAGGCTTCTTCGAACCCAGGGGGGGAGGGGGAAAGGCTTCTTCGAATCCAGGGAGGAAAGGCTCCTTCGAGCCCAGGAAAGGCTTCTCCGAATCCAGGGAGGAAAGGCTTCTTCGAACCCATGGGGGGAGGGGGGAAGGGCTTCTTCGAATCCAGGGAGGAAACACCAACCGGGCCCGACAACTGGCGCTTCCTGAGCGGCCGTGGGCGTTTACTATAGCAGCCCTCCCCTGTTCGATTCCTTCTCTGGGTGCGTTTACGAAGCGGCTTCGTGTCGGGGTGATCCTTATGAGGGTGGCATTTCTGCCCTCTGTGGGAAGCACCCCTGCGTCTTCCAAGGCGCGGGCCTCGTCTACAGATGTGAGGCCGGAGCCTTCCAGAAGGAGCCTCCCCCCCGCCCGCCCTCCCCCCCGTGTGCGCGCTGCCGAGCAGCGCCGTCTGCCTCGAAGAGGCAGCACGCCCCGCGGCGGCGCACCCTCGGCGCCTCCACTCCTCGCCCCGACGCGCGGCGGCGGGCTCGCAACAGACGGCCCGCTGCGACAGGGGGGCGAAGGTTCCCGCCCGCGGGCGCGCCCCTCGCCAGAAGGGCGCGGCGCGCCCGGCCAGCCTCCTCCTCCTCCTCCTCCTCCTCCTCCTCCTCCTCCTCCTCCTCCTGGTCGGTGGAGGCCAGAGATTGTTTCTGTTGTCCTCTGGTGCGTGCCTATGGACATGCTGGCGTCGTGAAGACATCAGGACGGGCGTTTTTTTCTTCGTTTGGGGTCTTTCGGGCCCTCGTTGGGTCCCAGGACCGCCAAGAGACCAGCTCAGGATGAATACCTGGTCCTGTGGGCAAAGGATTTGGACTTCAGGGGCCCCGTATGGAAATGAACCCGGCGTGACCCCAATTGAGGGTAAGCTTCCTGTTGCACGGGCGCAGTGTTTGGCATTGCTGGGCATTGCTTGGCATTGCCTGGCACTGCTTGGCACTGGTTGGGCGCGGTGCTTGGCACTGCTTTGCCGGAGAACGTGGGGGAACCCGGGGAACCCAGGGACCCCCGTGGACCCCCTCGGGGACCTGGGGCACCCGTGGAACCCGGGGAACGGGGCAAAGTAACAAGATAGGAGGCATCGGGGGCGAGGAACCCGGGGAACCCGAGGCATCTCCGGGGAACGGGCAGAGTAAGCCCCGGAGGCATCAATTCTCAGCCAAGTGAGAGCCCCTTCTAGTTAGGCAAGCCCAATTGTGGAAAGATCGTGGTACCGCATGTCTGTCTAACGGTCGTTGCCCAGGCCCCCCCCCTTCTTCACGTGTAGCGGTAGAGATCGCACGTGCGAGGGGGGGGGGGGACTCCCCCTCACATGTTGGTGGTTGCGCGCGTTCTACGGCGATCGCAGCGCGCCCCCCCTTCCCGACGTGCCCCGCCCAGGCGTTGCCGTTTACCGTCACCCCAGGCTCCGACCCCCCCAGGCGACGACCGTCACCGGAAAGAATGACGAGCAATTTCACGAGAGGTTTGTCCGGAATCTCCGGGGGCCCCGGACCGTCAACAGAGACGGCCCGCGTTCCCAGGGAAGGGGCCCAGACCTCCCCGGGGAGAAGCACGTCGTCGGCCATCCTGGCTCCTGGGGAGGAGGAGGAGGAGGAGGAGGAGGAGGAGGAGGAGGAGGAGGAGGTGCCCTTGCCACGTCGGCCAGGTCCGCTGGGAAGCTCTGGCCAGGCCGCTGTGCAGGCGTCGCTGCAGCGAAGTGCGCGGCGGCCGGCCGGCCTCTGGAGCGGGGGCCGGGGGCCACCCAGGGCTCAAGGGACGGGGGCCAATGCCAACGGGGGTCAGCCAGGGCGTCAGATCTTTCCGGATCCTGCAGGGCCAGGGCTGCACTGACCTGGGCTTGCGTGCAGGATCCTGCCGGATCCCGCAGGATCCTGCACCGCTGGATTCACCCGGGCTTGCATTGGCCCGGGTGAACTACTCTGTGTCCCTCAATAGTTCTGGGTCCCCGGACTACGGGTACCCCCCGGACTACAGGTACCCTCCCCCGGACTACAGGTACCCCTCCCCCGGACTACAGGTACCCCCCCCCGGACTACAGGTACCCCCCCCAGGACTACAGGTACCCTCCCCCGGACTACAGGTACCCCCCTCCGGACTACAGGTACCCCCCCGAAGCTTCATGTGCCCCCCGAAGCTATACGGCCACCCGAGTTGTCTACCCCCTCCGAGCCGAAACGGTCCGCCTGGAGTGTTTCTGCCCAATGCCGCCCATGCTACTTAGGCGCAGTTCGCCAATGCTGGGTCGGAGCCCGAAGCGGGGCACTCGCGAGGGACGAATGGAAACGCAGGGGGGAAGATAACGATAACAAGTAAAAGAAAGAGACAGAGCAGGAGAAAGAGGGAGGTAGGGAGGGGTGTATATATAAATAGAGAGAGAGAGAGAGAGAGAGCGAGAGAGAGAGGTACACATATACATATATACAACAAGAAAGCAACAAGAGCGATATCGATATATATATATATATATATATATTTCGTGCAGTTTCGCGCGCGTAGACATTTACGCGTGCTTTGACGCGTGAACGCGCGCCCCCCCCCGGACTACAGGTACCCCCGCGCGCGCCCTCCCCCAGACTACAGGTACCCCTCCCCGGACTACAGGTACCCCTCCCCCGGACTACAGGTACCCCCCCCGGACTACAGGTACCCCGCCCCGGACTACAGGTACCCCTCCCCCGGACTACAGGTACCGTCCCCGGACTACAGGTACCCCCAGAACTATTGAGGGGCACAGAGTATAGTGCGTCCCAGGCGTCTCCCCGGGGCCATTATCCAGCAGCTACCCGCGGCGAAAAGCGGTCCCGGGGACGCTGTGGAGGTCTGTATACGAGGCCCACGCAATCAGAAAGTGAAGACGTCGAGGGGTCTGAGGACCACGTGGGCGCCGAGCTGCTGCTCTGTCGCTCCAGCGTCCAGGCGCGAGGGCCGCCAATCCGCCTTCCCTTGCTGTGCAGAAGTGTTTCGGAGCAAAGCTCTGCCTGGCTGCCCGGCTTGCACAATGCTGGCCGCCCCTTCCCGGCGCTTGTGTTGAGCTCTCACCCAGAATCGGGGTGCCCCAAAAGGGGGTCCAGCTGAAAGGGGGTGGTGCGATATATTTGGGGCAAGTGTTTTGCAAATGTATTGCGCCAGAGAATTGTTCTGCACTGTATTACAAGTAACGCATTGCACGCGAAAGTGCAGCAATACATCTGCGCCCCGTAATGTAGTGCACGCCCCAAACGTGTGGCAACCCCACGAATCTACTGCACCAGATCTATTGCACCGCCCCCTTGTCGCTGGACCCCCCTGTGGGTCCACCCGACAGAAGAAGAGACATGCGTGAGCTGTGAACACAAGGGCTCCCACGAGGGCGCGAAGTTATTCGCGCTTCGCGGTCCTCGCTCCTTCTCCCCCTCCTCCTCGTCCTCCTTTTCTCCCTTTGGGAGGGCGGCGCGAGAGCGCGAAGTTATTCGCGTTTCGCGCTTCGCGGAGCGCGAAGCGCGAAGTTGGGAGCCCTAGGAACAGGCGTGCTCGGCTGCCCGTGCGGATCTCTCGGACCTGCGCCGGACCCCCCTGTGGCTGCGCCCCTGGCGTCGGCACCCCAGCGGGAGGGAGGTGCAGCGGCGATCCAAGACGTCAGCGCGGGCCTCCGAGAGGTTCTTGTTCGAGGCGGGAATTGATGCATGACCACCGCCTGTAGGGTCAGTTTTCGGAGCCTCGTCAGGCGGTGGATATGAACATACATCGGCCCAATCCTGGAATTTTCGTCACGATGCTGGCCCGCGGAAGTCGACGGAAGTAAAACGAGGCGGAAGACGGGGGAAGGCCGCCGGAAGGCTTGCCAATGTCAGCGGAAGTAAAGGACGCCCCTTCCGAACCCCCTACCCCCGTAGAAGCCTAGCAATGTTGTCTTCCTCCGTGGGCCGGGCGGGATCCCCCCTGGCTTATTCCGCTTTAATGTTATAAGTTTAGTTCAGGACGATCAAAATCCCACCCATTAAGAATGGGGTAGACCAAAATCCCGGGCCGTTCACGGATCCCACCATGCTGGGATCGGCTCGAAGTAAGATGGGGCTCATAAGTTGCAGTATTATTGCCGTGTTGTGGTCGTCTTGAGGTCATCTTGAGATCATATCCCGGTCATGTTTGGATCACGCAAGTATCGCGTAGTCATTATGAGGCCACCCTGGGTGCGCTTGGATCCATCTTGTTGCCATCGGGCCATCTCGGCGTCACGCGTTGCTCATGTGTTTCGTCATCTGCGAGTCGGCCTGAGACGGTCGAGAATCCATGGCGGGATCGCGTTGGGGTGGCATCATCCTGGGTCCTCTGGACGTTATCGTCCGTGGCCTGAGGCATTCCTGGAAGCATGTTGTGGCCATGGGACGTCTTGGGATCGCGTGCGTGCGAACGCTGAGCACGCGCGCGCGACTTTTCATCTTGCCGACCGGTTTACATAATATCATTCCTCTTGCGAGTTTCCAAGGACACTTTAGTTGGAGCCAAGTATTTTGGCCCCCCGGGGCCAACATTTATCCATATCCACCGCCCGCTGGGGCACCAGGACGCCGGTTCCCAGGCGGTGTATAATATAGATAAATCCCCGCCTCGAAAGATGGTTCTTCTTCTACTTTTGCGCGTGCGACCTGCTGGTGGCGATATTGCACGGCCGCTCGCCATCCGGCTCTGGTCCATACCACGGCCTGGGAGCTGCTGTCTTGTTCGGCGGCGGGCAGACAGGGGGGGATGGGGACCGGCAGGGAGGAGTGGCGTGATGAATGGACCTCCATTGTTGGAACAAGGGTGTTCGGAGCTCTGCGCGGATTTCTTGGATCGGCCCTGGGCTCCCCTGGCGGCGCCTCCAGCGCCGCCCCTGGCGCGCGGAGCGCAGCCACAGGGGGTTCCAGCGCGGACCCGAGACATCCGCGCGGAGCTCCGCAGGTTTACCTTCATGCAGCTTTTTGTTGCCCTTGCTGTGGCCCCCACCTGCGGTGCCTGCGAGTGCACTGACACTGTTTCCTGCATGCGCACGTCTGTCCTTTGTGGCGCCGCTGCGGCCCTGCGGCGGAAAAGAGGCCAGAGGTGCAGTTGTCGGCTTTCCCTCGTCAGGTCTCGGGACCGTCCAGAGCCGGCTCGGGTTGGAAGGCCAGTCCCCGGGAATGGGTCCAGATCTCTGGGCAGCCACGGTGTGACAAAGTGGCGACGTCTCCGGTCTGGGGGGTACGAGCAGAGCGGGGAGGGGGGGGTCAGAAACGAAGGGCGTGACGAAGAAAGCTAAAGGAGGAGGACGAGGAGGACGAGGAGGAGGAGGAGGAGGAAGAGGAGGAGGAGGAGGAGGAGGGGGAAGAGGAGGAGGACAGGGGATGGAAATGGGAATGGGAAGGGCAACGGGATGCGAATGGGATCGATGCCATCTAGAGCAAGTTACTTTGGGACCCCCTTACATCGTTTGGCCGCAGGCCTCGCTTACAATCGGTCCAAGAACCCACGCCGCTTCCTGGAAATATGCCCTGTGTCACAGGGTTTGGCCAACTCCCTAAGGACAAACTTACCGAAAACCCGCAATCAGCACACACAGCTAAATTCTAGGCGCTTCGCGTAGCCCCACCAGCCCCCATCAAGCCCCGATCAGCCCCACCAGCCCCACCTGCCCCGATCAGGGATGTGGAACATAATGCAGTTGAATAAAGGGTTGGGTAAGACGTTGTGCCCCAAGAGGGAAAGGATGGCGGAGGAATCCGAGGAGGATGAGCAAGAGGAGGAGGAGGAGGAGGCAGAGGAGGAGGAGGAGGAGGAGGGCGAGGAGTATGGAGGATGAAACCTAGGGACAAAACTATGCAGGAGGAGGTGGATGTGGGGGAAGGGGAGGAGGCAGGAGGGAAGAGGAGGAGTAAGCGGATGATGAGGAGGAGAAGGAGGAGGAGAAGGAGGAGGGAAAGGAGGGGGAGGAGTATGAGGAGGAGGAGCAGGAGGAGGAGCAGGAGGAGGAGGAGGAGGAGGAGCAGGAGGAAGAGGAGAAGGAGGAAGACAAGGGCGAACAGAAGAGCCAGACACCTCTTGCATGCCGCTCAGAGTCTCCTCGGATGTCGCTTGGAAGCTTGTGGGAGGCCTCTTGGGGCGTCTGGGGGGGCATCTTGGCGGGCCCAGGGCAGTTGTTGAGCGACTTGGGTGCCTCGGGGATCCTCTGGTAGCCTCTTGGGGGTCTCTTGGGAGCTTTTTGGAGGCTCCTTGGTGCCTCCTTGGCGCCTCTTGTTGCCCTCTTGGAACGCTCTTGGGAGCCTTTGGGGGCGCTCTTGGAGTCATCTTGGAGGAGATCGACCAAACAAGGGTGGGTACTCAATTAGCCTTGCCCGTCTCTTGGACCCCTCGTGGACCCCTCTTGGAGCGCTTTTGGACGCTCTTGGGGCTGTCTTTGGGCTCTCCTGGGCCTCTCTTGGAGCCCTCATGGCCCCTCTCAGAACCATATTGAGGCCTCGGGAGGCCATCGAAAGCAAAACTGCGGGACGGCCTACTGCATTGCTGCTCCGAGATGTTTGAAGGATTCTGCCCTCTTGGCGGCCTCCTGGGACGATTTTTCTTGGCCATTTGGATCCTTCTTGGAGCGGTTTTAGGCGCCTCTAGGAGCATCTTGGGAGCCATCTGGAGCCATCTTAGGCTATCTTGGGCCATCTTGGAGGTCGTCTTGAGCTCTCTGAGGCCCTCTTGGAGCCACCTTGGGCGAACATGTACCCTCTGACACCTCGCGGGGTACACCCTCCAGGTCCAGCGGAGGGGTAGGGGCAGGGGTCAATACACCTTCTTAGATCGCAAGCCGTCTAGCTCACCCCCACCCGCCCTCCCAACCCATAAGTCACACACGAGCCTCAGCATGTTCAGCGCTCGTCTTTGGATGGGCAGCTACTGGGAACCAACACCGACCCCATGTGCGCGACGCTGGGGCGAGGCGCGCCACGCATGCCACGCGTGCCAGGCGCGTCACGCGCGCCAGGTGCACCACGTTCGGGGCACGTGCAGAGTGTGTCAGGTGCGCCTGCGCACGTGACCACGCATCGGCAAACATGTCGCCCCCCACCATCCATTTCGAAAACCAATGCCCCTTTTATGGTGTCTGGTGGGCCTGCGCACAGCTAGCCATGCGCCCCCGCCCCCGCCTTCCCTGTCAAAAACCACTTGACCGTGATCGCGGGGTGGCTGTGCATGATCCAGATTTAGCAGCGGGGTGCATATTGTATTGGTTCTTGGCAGGGAAGATGGCCCTGCGCACAGCAGACGATCTGCTGACACCCCCGCCGTCCCTGCGACAAAAAAAAAACATACACAAAGTGCCCGCGGGCCTTGCGAACATGCCCCAAGGCTTTGTCCCAACGTGTATTCTGTATTTTTTGACAGGGGTGGTGGATGGGTGGGTGGGTGGGGGGGGGGAATCAGGTTTGTTGCGCAAGCTCCGAATTTTGGAGGCCGATTGTGTTTTACATGTTTTTCTGTGACGGGGATGGTTGGGGGGTGGGAGGCACAGGGTAGGCATTGTTCCTGGTTGGCTGTCGGTCGCCTGGGGGAGGGGGTGTATATCAATAGGGAACAGTGATCAACCCTTGCCCGAAGAGTATGAAGAGGGTTGGAAGATGGCAGCTCTCTGGGACCCCCTGGGAAAAAGTATTTTGAGACTCGTGATTTCTATGATTTCTACGTTTTTTTCCGCTCATTTATTCGAACAAGGCGGCAGCGGCGCGGGGGGGGGGTAGGGGGGTAGGATCACCGGCATCAGCAGGCAGGGGCTCGGACAATCTTTCCGTCCTGCGAACCTCGGCAGCAGCCGCCATCGATTATGGCATGGATCTCAACAGCCGCCTTCGAGCCAGCCGCAGGGCAAGTGTGTCAGCAAAGTTCTCGAGCACGCCCTGGTACTCGTCGATTGAAACCGTAGCTCCAGGGGGGGAGTTCCACTGAACATCAATCTCTCCTGTCTCCACACTAGGACCCCTTCAGTCGTTTGGCGCCGTCGGGGTCCAGCCAGCCTTCAGAAGGTGAGTAATTTCGGCCGAGACGGGGCGCCGAATGTGCCTGGCCTTACGATTGGACTTCACCAAGGACAGCTGATCCTGAAGACCATCCCAAGCCGAACATTGCCTTGCCGAGCCTCGGGAAAACGAATCGAGCAATCCAGCCACGTCACAAGGCACGAAACAGGAAACGTAATCCCATGGTCTTTTGAAGGGGACCAGAGGTCCAGAAGGGTAGTGAGGCACTTGTGCCTTTTTTCCCAGAACCCAAGAACGCCCCCAACCGTTGCCGCAAGCGACGAATCTGAGCGCCCATGACTCCGTAGATCTCGGGACCGTAGTTCGAACATGCTTGGGGGCCTGTCAGCTCGATATCCTTGGAATGCCTTGCCACACGTGTATAGCCTCAAAGCTTGACTGGCTGAGTGTTGCCCTTAAGCACCCGTTGTCTACTCGTGCTCCTCGCCTGCCTCCTCCCATATCCCATGTCTTTGCCGGGGTAAGGTGCCTGAAGGACCGCCGACACTCGAACGCCGCGACGTTTACAGCGTGGAGCAATCTGCCGTGCAACCGCGTGCACTGGCCACATGGGAACACTCTTGTCCGCTAGCCTATGCCCGCTCTTCTGCATCTTCGTAGAGGTCTGACCAATAAACTCGATCGTGCTAGCTGCAACCGATCTACTGGAACCAACACTTTACAACATGATATCGTCAACCCAGATGCCCTGCGTGGCCGAAATCGGTGCAGTCCATCACTTGCCGAGAATAAGAGTTACGCATGCAGCGCAGCGAGTGCCGTTACGTAACCCTTAACTGAATTATTGGTACGGTTGAACGGCCAAGTTGTTAGCATTTCCTTAGTTGATACGAGGATCCATGCAGAATTGGATATCCAATGCTGCAGCCGGGGAGAAACCCGGTCTTCAACGCGGTAAAACATTCTGATGCCCAGAATTGCCTGAGATTGAGAAATACCCAATCTAGTATAAACCTCGGCATCACAGGCTCGCCTATATGCCTCTCTGAGTGCTGGGTGTCCCGCGATTGCCGTATCTCACGCTTGGGTAGTGTCGTGGGTCCATTGCGTTGCCAACACATTTGTAGCCAGTGACGAGAGCCAGCAGACCACGCACTTCAATATTATCACTTTGTCTCTTCCTGATTTCTTTGGTAAAGGCTTCTCTATGACGATGACCAGGTGCCACGGCCATGTAAGCGTCTGCTCACACGGCTTGAAATCACCAAGAGACTGCAGTGCAACGTCGGGCAGCCAATCGGAGTCGAGGGGATGAAGCGGCCCGCGCCTAGCTCCGCTGAAGGACGCATCCTTTTCAGCGCAGCCCTGAGATCTTCCACCACTAGCTCTGGCAACTTGTTAGTGAACGCTCGGGTCCGAACAGTGTCGAACGCCCTCACACGTGCTGCTGCGATACTGGGTTGGCGGACCGAAGCTCGTCAAACTTCGCATCTTTCGCATTAGTATCATCTACTGGACTGAACAGCTGACCGCCTCGCTGCAGAAACTGAGTTTGGCACCGTGTCGACTTGCAAAGGGCGGAAAGTTTGGTCTTGCTTCGATTTGTCCATGATCTAAGCTTGAAGGCTAACCAGCGATGCTTTGATAGCTTTACTCTGAGACCCAGCTCAAGTCCGATTCGCCCATCCAACCACCTTTTTCATAAACTCCTGAGGGAGGTCCCCAATGTGCCAAAGATAATGACTCCAGTCTTCCAGGGAGGGTTCCTTACTGTACTGGATAATGACCTGGTGGGCACCTGGAGGGATATCCTGGCCAGAAAGCCC